ACCACCCCCCATTCAAGCGTGGTATATTTGCCACACACGTGGCTTTCAGTCATCGTTATCCCCCTCTAATATATTATCTCGCAGAAAGGTCCCTTTTCAAAAAATGCCCCCCCCCCACGGGAAAATCCTTAAAAAAGGCCCTGCGGGCGAGCTTGAAAAATATGCCCGACCACGGTGGGATTCGAACCTACGACCTTTGGAATACCAGCCCAATGCTCTTCCAACTGAGCTACGCGGTCAGGACGGTTCGAGTAAGTGATATTTCGGAACAGTATCTAGTTCCTTCAATACCAATGTGTTCTTGTAGATACTATTCCGAAATATCACTTAGATACAAGGAACTAGATACTGTTCCGAAATATCACTTACTCGAACCGTCCTGACCGCGTAGCTCAGTTGGAAGAGCATTGGGCTGGTATTCCAAAGGTCGTAGGTTCGAATCCCACCGTGGCTGGGCATATTTTTCAAGCTCGCCCGGTGTGGATATGCACTCAGAGTAACATCACAAACAAAATAATATTTTAATTCAAAAATATCTGAGTGTTACCATCCCCGCCCCCAATCTCGTTCCCAGAGTATGCCTGTTCGCGGGTTAGGTGCCACAACCTAACCCGCGAACAGGCATACTCTGGGAACGAGATTGTCCCCGCCCCCATGTTCCTCAGGAGTTGGGATAAGTTAGGATAGCTTTGGATTTATTTGGATAACTGTGTCGTGAAATGGATTTGCGCAGTAGACAATATCCGGGTTTTGTTATTCTTTTTCCGTATAACATTTACCTTCAGAGTCAGACAAATTGGCGCTGACACTGATATAGAAGAATTTTACTCAGTAATTCCGAATAAAAACAAAGCGAACGGATCTAGAATGAAGTGGAATTTGTGGCTAACATGTGCTGGCTTGTTACTTGTCTTTCATCAAGGTAGGTAGCCGAATATGAGCGAGTTGAAAGCAGCTTCGGCATCAAATATATGTTTGCAGGTATAAACACTTCTGGTGCATTATTATTATACGTTCTGCGTATTTAAGGCTCTTATGACAATAATCTGATATTTTAACACTATGTTACTGAGAGTTACAAGATATAGATTATTGACAAAATACAACATCACAAAATACAAACAACACGTACATTCGACAATTAATCAATTATAGTGTCTTAGTATTATATTTTATATTTTTGATACAGAACCACATCCACGCTTAGAGTACAAGGGGTTTTGTAATTCTCTTCTATTTACATTTTAAAAGAAATATGTACAAATATTAAAGTATATAAGGTTTAAAAATGAAGTGATGCCGTTAAAGAAGAAACTTAAGAAAATTAAATGAAGTGATGCCGTTAAATGATTAATAATTTAGGAAGCTTACGAAGCTATTTGTTCTACACCGGGTACGAATGTGTAAACGCTATTCATCTGACAATTATTTTCCTCGTTTTTCAATATATTAACATCATACGACATAGATTTCAATATATTTCAAGCAAATGCTTGGTAGGCGAGTATTCTAAGTGTACTTGCAAGTAGTGAATGGTGATTACAGCCAATTGCAGTTGAGCTTGCAGCTTGCATTTTAAACGCGTTGTTACATCGTTGAAAAGTATGCGTTCATTCCTTAGAAACACGCCGTTGCTAGGGGCGTAACGTAAACTTTTGGCGGGCATTGTTGAACTTCTGAACGGCGTGCAAACAAACGTATAACGAGTTAAATATTGTAAAAACGCTGCTAAAGCCTGCAATAGAACAGTAAGGTATTTTTAGAATGCCTGCAGTCAAATTAGAACTCCCTGGTTGGTTTTGTGACAAAATCTAATTTAATTCGTCAACGCCAAGAATAGAAAAACATGTTTACGTCGTTACAACGCCCGCCAAAAGTTCACGTTACGCCCCTAGCAACGGCGTGTTTCTAAGGAATGAACGCATACTTTTCAACGATGCAACAACGCGTTTAAAATGCAAGCTCAACTGCAATTGGCTGTACTGATTGCAGATTTAACAGTCTCAATTGTGGCCAGGGGCAGATATTCCACGGGGGGGGGGGGGCTTCGAAATTATCGTTTCCCTTTTAGAATTACTCAAAATTTCCTTCAAAATTCCATTAAAGAATTTTCCTTTATAATTATCAAAGGAAAACCGGTATACCGATAATATCGGTATAATTTTTTTGGTATACCGATACCGGAAATTTCTCGTACCGGACATTCCTAAACCAAGTATATTTTTTTTATTTGGCCTAAGCGTAAGCACCAAGCGCTATATACTGTATGAAATGAACTGCAGACCACGGAACTGCGGAACCTGTAGAACTTAATAATATCACTTTTTCTTCTTGTACAACCATTGTTCCTTCAATAAAGTAAGTGTTTTTATTGTTCATTTACACAGATTCTGTTATACTGTGTGTCGCCAGTATATCTGTTTAATTGTCAATAAAAATCGTAAACATGTCAATTCTCAGCGTTCTCCAGAGTTTTCACTTGGAAAGCCCTTCCAGAAAAAATTCAGACTTTGGACGAAAATTTTGAAGTATGAGATTACCCAAATTCTGTACTTTATTTAAAAAAAATACAATTTGATGTGGGGTCGATTTAATGTCGATGTGGGGTCGATTTATTGTTGATGTGGGGCATTGATATATGGGCCCCTTAGTGTGCACACTCCTCAGTGCTTTCTGATCAGTTGTCATATCAACTTTGCACTATCCTTGGGATCTCTGAGTTAGATTTTAGTTCAAAGTTCAGAAGTACATTTTCGCATTGGTGTCTATGGGGCTTATTCAGAGTTTTGCTGAAGGTTTAGGATTGTGAGGGTTTCTAATGTCATCTGATTTAGTCCGCTTCTGAAAGTGGAAGTGGCCCTGTGGGTTGCAATGTGAAAAGTAACTAATCTGACAGTTTGTTAGTAATATAGTTGATTGTTTCTACTGTATGTACAGTACCTGTATTTGTCTAACATTTAGGGATCATAGTAATTGGCACAAGCTGTTGCGATTGCCCTGCCAGTTTTTGTGTTAATTAAGTTAATAGAGACCTTAAGATTGACGTTTACGGCAAACGGCAAACCGCTAGCGAAGTTTTTGATTTTACAACTCTATTATAATAGCTTTTACACCAGTTTTGAAATATGTTAGACTTATTAAACTTGTGCTCTTTAGCAATGATTTAAGAAAGCAAATTAACCACTAGTAATGCCATTCACCAAAGCAGTAAATTAAGATTTGGCGTTTGAAGTTGACGTTTGGCGTATAGATTTCATGCTTTAACGACTACAAGCCCTCGTAGCAGTTCAAGAATGAAATTTATATGCCAAACGTCAACTTCAAACGCCAAATCTTAATTTACTGCTTTGGTGAATGGCATGACTAGTGGTTAATTTGCTTTCTTAAATCATTGCTAAAGAGCACAAGTTTAATAAGTCTAACATATTTCAAAACTGGTGTAAAAGCTATTATAATAGAGTTGTAAAATCAAAAACTTCGCTAGCGGTTTGCCGTTTACCGTAAACGTCAATCTTAAGGTCTCTAATAAGTTAAATTAACCAGCAAATTTTACTGTGCTGTGCAACTGTCCAATCATGCATATCATTATATGATAAAAAGTCAATATAAACTTTATAAACACAAGATAATGTAAAACGTAACAGAATGGGGAACATGCAGATTCAACCATCTCAAATAATGGTAATGTTCATGTTGAGATAACAGCATTGCAGACTGCAGAGGAGAGTGGGCTATTGAGATTATGGTAGTGATCATATATTGTAATCAGTTTTAAGTAATCATATTTATTAATTATATGTCCAACAAAAAACAAGCAACTTTACTGTATGAAACATGAATTTTGAAAGAGACAAAATACACAGTGTTCAAAGTTTATGGACACGGCACTAAATGTCACATGATTGTTCTGACCAATCACATAGCTATACATGTTCAAGTGTGATGATTAGACTAGCTTAAGATGTCATCAAGCAATCTTCTCAACCAAACTCCTTCTTGGCAAGCTGTGCTTAGCGCAACATATTCAGCTTCGGTAGTCGACTTTGACACACAACCTTGTAACTTGCTACACCAGCTTACTGTATTTCCTTGTATTTGAAAGACGTATCCTGTGGTTGCATGATCTACGTGTTGTCAAATCTCCCCAGTCAGCGTCAGAATGAACGGTTAAAATAGGTTCTTTAAAATAAGGATCGTTAAAATAAGGTTCGTTAAAATAGGTTCAGAAGTGTACATGAGACCATAGTCTAATGTGCCTTGAATATAACATAAAATTCTCTTAACTTCTTTCCAATGTTCTAGTCCAGGATTTGCCATGAACTTTGATAGAACACCAATGGCAACAGCTAGATCAGGTCGACTAATGAGGGTAGCATCATTTAAACACCCAATAGCAATTTGGTATCCCTTCATATCAACAGGATTCTCCTTTTCAGATAGTGCTTCATACTTCTTCCCAAACTCTAACGGTGTTGACACAGATTTGCAGTTTTCCATGTCAAATCGATTGAGAATGCCTTGTAAATACGTCTTCTGACTTATCGACAATGTACGTAGTCTACTATTACGCTTCACACTCATTCCAAGAACATAATGCAACTCTCTCAAATCTTCAACATGAAATCTCTTTCCGATCGCTGATTTTTCTCTCTTCGGGAGTTTTCTACTCTGTCGCCTTTTCGATAGTTTTAAAAATAGTTTCTGAACCACAAATATCAATCATAGATATATGATGTCAATATGCCCGGTTAAACAAAAAGAAGATCTGACTGGCCTATTTTTCGTTCTTTTTAATCTTGCGTTCGAGGTTTTATATATTATACAGTACTCAGTAGTCAGTAAACAAATATATCTTTGTCTTTGATATTAGTATATTAAATATAAACATTTGAGAGTTTTAGAATTTTTGTAGAATTGCCACACCACAATTGCTATTGTCAATACTTGTTTAATTTAGCCTAAATTCCAAGACTACCCCTATAGCAGGGTATTTGACTGTGGTGTTTGCCTGTTCGGACGGGCATTTGACTACTTATTTTGGATTTGACTCATACATGAACTTTTCAAATGCTATCGCTATAGATGGTGTTTTTGCGAAAACAAAATATATTTTGCACGGGAAGATTTTTCGCAGACGATGTAGGGCCCATTACACGAAGAAACATGCCATATAATTGCACTTTGGTTTAACGTAGACATCTCAAGTAAAAACGACCTTCTTCGTTGATTTTTTCTTGTTTATTTTTCGCTATTTTGAATAAAATTCCCGTTTATTTGCAAAATGCGAGTACACAATCATGTTAAGAATGCTTGTAAGCGGTCGTTAATCAGTCTTTACTTTATGTAATTTTATTGTTTAACCACGCCACGCAAGTTAACTACGTGATTAGTTAATCATCCGACAAACTACGTTTTGTGCAACGTAATTAAGTCGTGTAATTAACTAATCATAGTTAAGGATTTAACTACAGTGATTTTAAACGCTAATCATAGTTAAACTTAACAAGAACGTTCTTATACAACCGGCCCCTGTTGTTTCACTGTAAATAAATGTCATTGATGAATGAATGCAACAAGTTGTTAAAGTGCGCCATCTGTCTTGTAAAGCAAATAGTTTGCTCCACAGACGCCACTAGAACTTGTACAAACTTTGGCACCATTTTTAGTGTGAAGTTTCTTCGAAACTTTACAGTATTGTGATGACTGGGGGGAAAAAGCTTTATGCAATAGAAGAAAAAAGCAAGGAGGTAGCCAACGCGTACCGTCACGGACCTTGTCAAGTCACAGTCCTTGTTTACTGTCTAGCACAGCCACAACGGTGCAAACTCGTGTTCAGTGCAACGATAACTCTACCATATCTTACGAGAATCAATCTGTACACAGAGCTGCATCAAAGCTTGTCAAAACTGCTATAAGGGACCGGTAATAAAGTAACTGCTAGGGTGGGCTGGAGTGATTTGGGATGGGCCATGGAAAATATTTGGGCAGATTCGATGAGCCGCCAATTTTTTTGTATGTCCACGGTTGGGCCACCAAACAAAAAAACATGCATGTCTGCTTCAAAAAATAGAGATACTAATAGTAAAAGCAAACAAAACTATCCAAATTATCAAATGCAAATGATGCTATTGTCTATTGAAGCCAGCATTTTGTTTATACAACAACAAAAATGGTCGAATCACAGCAAATACAACCAACTGGAGAGCAGCTCAGTACCAATGTGTTTGTCAAGCTTGGCGGAATTATGTATGTCAATACAGTGCCGTGCATGTATATTTACAACGTTCATACCTGCAAGTTGTTTTTTTATAATAAAAGTGTATTTTCACAATTTAGATTGGATGGGTCATGAAAATTTTTTTGTAAGATTAGATGGGCTTTGAAATTTTTATCTACATCCTAAGATGGGTCACCGAACTTGTTGGCAAAATTTGTGATTTACCTCCAGCCCACCCTAGCAGTTGCTTTATGACCAGTCCCTAACTGTGGAACTATGAAATCTGAAGTGACATTATTGAATATATGCGAAAAGCTGAAAAAGACACAACCTGACACTGGGAATATAAAGTCAAAGGTCAATGAGACTTGTTATTGTGAAACATGTCACAATTAGGTTAAAATGCGGAAGCGGATGGAGCGGATCAACGGAACGGATATGGGGATAAAATACGGAACGGATGGGGATAAAATGCGTCCGTTTAATGATGCAACGTCGTAGTGCTTATTATTCATAACATATCTTATACAGCTATTTCAATTAAAGTTGTCACTGAGACAATAGTCAAATGTGCAATATGGGCGCTAAAAGGATGATGGGAATAATCAGAGTTTTAAATAAGTTTAGCATATCAGTAACCTCATGGGGATGCTTTTGCAAATGCAAATGAAGTTTTAGAATATGAAAAATTTGGTAGTTGGTGAAACAATTAAAATTTCGAGTTGTCGCGTGTAGCATCACAATAAATAAATAAATTGTATCAGTTCGACGAGGCACGACGTTTCTGATGTGTTAGGCTTGTTTCAAACGTCGCGCTACTCATGTGCCGAACGCATTAAAAACAATAGAGATGAAATGCCTTTGGTAACTGTTTATTTCGTGGTGTAAGTGTCGGCGAGCCTATATAGTTCTTGCAGTTTCTTTTTCAATTTGAAACTTCATACTATCCTTGGATCCCTAGTAGGGTTGGGCGATATTAAAAAAATCATCTCACGATTATTGTGAAGGAAATTATCACGATATTCGATAATATCGCGATCAGGGCGCTTATATAGAGGCGCTTATTCTATATAAGCGCCCTGATCGCGATAAATGCAATAAAAATAATTTTTCAATTTTAATTAATATCATAGTAAGCTTATATACAATTTTATTAAAAACAAGTAAAACAACAAGTTAAAGTAATATGAAGCCTTTTTTTAGTCTAATATTTACTCATGGTCATAAACTAGAACTGTCTACTAGTGTCTACTGTATCGCCGCTGGCACACAGCGCAAGAAAAGCCTGTAATTTCATTGTTCAGCGGATTGTGATACATAAATATTTGCTTTGGTATCGTATTAATTTCGTATTTAATTCAGGAAATAGTTTTAATTCTTTTAAAAACTATATTTTCTAGGAATTGAAATAATTTTTAGGGTTTTTGAAAAGCTATATACACACGCGAAGCAATATCACAATAGTCATCGAGCATGACGACAATTTCGATATATCGTCGCTCAAGTTTCTACCTTCGATACGATAATCGCGATTGAAAATATCGCGATAAATCAAAATATCGAAACATCGCCCAACCCTAATCCCTAGTTACATTTTTGACCACATGCATGATTGCCAGAGGTCAAAAAGCTGTGTCACTTGCAATTGTTACAATTATTTTACAGGCATTGAAGTTGGTGCAGTTCAATGTGAAATTTGGGAGAAAGATCGTCAATTGCCTAATAAGGAATGTCCAACTGGGTGTTTTGCTATATGGTACAACATTAGTGGAGTTATACGTATAGAGCACAAGAATTGTTGGGGTAAAAATGCTGGAGGTTATAAAGATGATTGTGAAGGCACAATGCAAATACGAGATAGGAACAGTTATCATGCGATATTCTGTGCCTGCCACAAGGAGCTTTGCAATGCAAACTTAACATGGACTGGCAGCAGTACAAATGGTCAGTGAGTATTACCTATAACCAGTCTGAGTAGAATTTTCAGCAGCTAATTTTTCCCAAAAGAGATTGTTCGTCTTGAAATTAGTTAATAGAGAGGTTGTGATACCTGTACCCGTAAACCGGGTACGACTTGCAACTTAGGGTAAGAAAACCGATCGGAGAATGGTAAATAAAGTTCGTTGTTGATTCACCATTTGGGAAAAATTGACGAGCATATGTGCATTGATTTAGGAAAGATGTTGAAGTATTTTACTACCTAAACGGCCCATGTAGTCGTAGACCATGGTTTACCGTTGGGAAATGGGTAGAAATTACGGGTAAACATGCTGACGTCAGCAAAAATGGTAAACAAAATGGCCATACTCGTACCCATAAACCGGACCTGTGGTATTTTAACCTTTCTAATATATAACGATTGAGGAACGTTTTTTCACCTAAAACAAAAACAGGTCTGTGAAATTTTTCTGTGATGTTACTCTGAGTGTACATCCACACCGGGCAAGTTTAAAAAATATGCCTGGCCACGGTGGGAATCGAACCTACGACCTTTGGAATCCTGGTCTGTGAAAGTGTATTTTGAACGATGGTCATATTTTTTAGAAACAGTATACTGCAAATGGACCATTTGCATTATAGACTAAATTTTGATCTCAACAAGTCTAGATAAAAATTTCATCAAAGCTTGAAAGATAATCACAAAATTAGTAATATTCCAAAGTTTCGTTGCGAAATGTTGTAAAATGCGGATAATAGAGCCTTGCGAAGTTTGCCGTTTTTCAGTCATTTTGCATTACGTGGAGGAAATTGACAGCCCAATACCCTTTGGGGCTGTCACTTTCCCGTTTGTAATAGAAAATGACTGAAAAACGGCAAACTTCGCAAGGCTATATTATCCGCATTTTACAACATTTCGCAGCGAAACTTTGGAATATTACTAATTTTGTGATGTTCTTTCAAGCTGTGATGAAATTTTTATCTAAACTTGTTGAGATCAAAATTTAGTCTGTAATGCAAATGATCCATTAGCTCAGTGTATGATATCTGGAAATACCAAAGAGGTTCAGATTTGACTTCCACTGCACCTTTCACAGGCTTATGTACATCTGATTGATTAATTGTCTCTTAATGGTAGTGGAAGTCAAATCTGAACCTCTCTACCATTTCCAAGACTTCTACTTCCCATTCAGAGACCCACCCATTTAAGGGCAAGGACTCACAAATTATTTTATTCTGCCTTGTGATGCCATACAATTTTACTCACCCTAGCTGATGTATATATGTCCCTAATATACTTCTAATTTTTTACACTTGATAGTTTCCAGATATCGAACAGTCATTCCTCCCACACCAGAGCGCAAGGGAAACAATAATGATCACATCATATTTGTTGTTGTGGCAATTGTTGGCACGGTAATGGTGTCGCTAGTTGTCTTTATGGTGTATATAAAGAAGCGTGCTTATTTCAAGCCTGAGCCAGAAAGTGTCAGTAAAGGCAGTGAGGTTGAGACATTGATCCCCTCTGAAGAACTACCTCCTATTGATTTGAAAGATGTTTTATCTCAAGGACAGTTCTGTGTTGTGAGAAAAGGTAGAATGGGATACAAAGACGTTGCTGTCAAGATCTTCCCTATAACCCAATGCTCAAAACCAACACCATCAGCTTTGACTGAGGAAGACATGTACATGGTCTGTAAGCTAAGTCATGAGAACATACTCAAGTTTATTGGTAAACATATGTACGAGGAAGGAAACCAACAGCAACTTTGGCTGGTTACCGAATACATCGAACAAGGGTCGTTATCTGATTTCCTGAAAAGAAACACGATCAGCCGGGAAAATCTATTTCATATGGCAAAAGGTATGGCTTTAGGCATGGCATATCTTCATGCTGAAATACCCCGAGTCAAACCATCCATCGCACATCGTGATATCAAAAGCAAGAACATCCTGGTTAAGAACAACCTCACATGTTGTATCTCCGATTTTGGTCTTTCTTTGAAATTTGACAGCAAAGATGGCCCTGGAGACACACATGGCCAGGTAACGTCTTTGTTTATATATCCATGAACTTACGGTTAAAGCTCGACAACTGCATGACTCAACACTAGGGGTGCACCGGATTTGGAATTTTCAAATCCGGCCGGAACCGGATTTACCGGATTTGGCCAAAAATTCCGGCCGGATTTGCCGGATTTGAGATAAACCGGTAATGGCGATAAATTGGGATAATTCAGTATTCAAAATGGCGGTTTATGTTTTTTACTATTTTTAGTTAGTGTCAGTTTAGATTTTTTATTGTGTTTAAACCTTTTTTAAATATCTTCTTGTTAATAACTTGATATTTTATAATAATATTAAGTGTTTTTTAAACTTTAAAGCTGCCAAATTGATGGTTTATCCGATTCTTGGTGAATATTTTAAGGTGAAAACAGATATTTAATCCGGCCGGATTTTCTCCAAATCCGGCCGGATACCGGAAAATTCGTTAAATCCGGCCGGAATTCCGGCCGGATTTGAAATCCGGTGCACCCCTACTCAACACCGCGGAAAACGTCTGCGCATGCGTCAACCTTACTGAAATTTGCTTTGCGAACGTGGTGTCAAGTATTCCAAAGCGAACGTGGTGTCAAGTAATCCAAAGGTAGTCAAAAATTTAAAATGAAAGCGACAATTAGAGACTTGACACACTTCGATGTTTGCCGTTTCTGTGAACATGCAAGCGGAATAATGAATGTGACAACCTAAAAACTAGAAATAAGTACAGTCCACGTGTGCAAGAAGTAGTATTATGCAAGGAAATGAACCAAAGGTGACTGTCGATAAATTTATTGTATAAAAAGTTCTTTAACTGAACCATACAAAGATATTTTGCGTAGGTTTATATGATCCACATCTTTGTCAATAACTTCTTTGCGTAGCATGTATAATTTTTGCGTTGACTATATTTAAGGGTAATAAATATAGTTTCGGTGTCCGGTGTTAATAAATATAGTTTCTAGTTTTGTTTGTGGAAACACCACGTAAATTTATTACTGCAAATCTTTCGATCCGTAAGCCCGGATCTTCATCAGTGCTAATAATATGTTATTATTAGTAATAATATCATATTATTAGCACTGATGAAGATCCGGGCTTACGGATCGAAAGCTTTGCAGTAATAAATTTACGTGGTGTTTCCACAAACAAAACTATTATATGTTTTATCGCCATGCAAACATACAAAGAACTTAAATATAGTTTCTATTTGCAAAATTGTGCATGGAATTTATGCCAGCTATCAATACATCATGTATAGAAGTGTAAGAGTTGACGTATTATTAACAAGGGTTATGGTCAATTGGAAGTGTTCATACCTTGCAAAATTAAATAAACGTGGTGTTTCTACTGAAAGGTAGAGCAAATAAATAGTGTTATGGCTTGCCTTTGAAAAACCATAACATTTTTTCTGTTATTGATTTAATTTTAGGTAGGAACTCGACGGTATATGGCTCCAGAGGTTCTGGAAGGGGCAATAAACTTCTCCCGAGAAGCTTTTCTCCGTATTGATATGTACGCTTTTGCTCTATGCCTTTGGGAGCTTCTCACCAGATGCACTGCTGTGCAGGAAGGTTCGTTACCTCTTATTGTTTTTACAGATGCTTTTGTTTAGCCCTGGGCTAGCAAGGCAACATTAATCAGGGTTCGAATTAGCGGCTCGCTATTCGCAATTTGCGAATGTAAATTCGCTTTTTGCGAACGCAAAATCATCCATTTTGCGAATTGCGAATGACGTTTCGAAAAAACGGGTTGATTTTCACAATCACTTCGAATGTATTTTACTATAATGTAAGATATAGAGTATTTTGCTGACTATTATTGTAATTTTGTACTAAAAAGATGTGTGAAATTAAGAATATGGCTACAATTTCTTCAGAAAATTTACGAAATTCCCTACGAAACGACCGCCATTTTGGTTTTTGCAAGCAGTGTTTCCACTTTTCAAAACTAAAATTTACTTAAATTTTCAAAAAGGAAATTTGCGAATCGATGTTTCCTGTCTAATTCGAACCCTGCATTTAAATATTTTGATGCTTCCTCAAAGTTTGCACGCCTGCTTATCCACCCTTGCAATTAGATCTTTTCCCCCAACAAATTCAGAAACATATTTTGCTGTGGAAAAACTGTTTCCTACTGCAGTTTGCCCAAGGCATTATAATGTTATACTGTATGTCCTATTGAGATTGTCATTGAGTGGACTCAAGAATGCTATTTTCGCATGATGCTTCAATTTCTGTAATGATTTATCTCAACTTATTTTCAGAACCAGTTAGCGATTACAAGTTGCCATTTGAGGAAGAAGTTGGGATCCATCCTAGCTTGGAGGAGTTACAAGATTATGTCGTTAATAAAAAATTACGACCACATTTCCCTGCAGAATGGAAAAACACAGATCAGGTTAGTGACCATGATTGTTTTATCCATTGTTTTATCACATTTATCGGCGTTTTATTTAGAATAGAATAGTTAAGAGTAGAATGGAATTCAGAATAGAATGGAAAGGAATGGAAAGAAAAAACTTCTATTTTACTAGTATAGATTTTTTGACGAACTTGTGGTCCTCATAATATTACTATTATATGTATAAAGTATGGACAATTCACAGGGTCCGAAGTGGGGGAAGACCATTACTTGTAGTACATTACCTCATGTTCAACAGCAAATTTAAACAAAATTAACATGTGAAACTATAACTATCTTTCATAAGGGAATTGATGGGATAATTGTTACAATTGAAGAGTGTTGGGATCATGATGCTGATGCACGTCTTACAGCTGACTGTGTCGCCGAGAGAGTGAAGCAACTTTATGGTGCTGGAAAACGACAAACCAATACGCCTTTGGCTGTTTCCTATAAATCTTTGGAGCATGAGAATGGACTGTTGGCATAGAACTCTCGTTTGAGTGCTTTTTATGCCATAGTATATCACATGTATATAAATTATATATATATATACAAGGTTAAAAAGAGCTATTTTGTCTATGCATGCCCTGGTTCTAGCCCCTGTATAGACTGGTAACCTGGCAGTTTACTCTATCGTTGATCGAACACAATTTTCATTCGTGAAACGCAAGATACGTGTGGAGATCACGGGCAGTTGACATGAACAACCTATCCACCCAGAAAGATGTTCTTTTAAAAATATGTATACGTAAACGTATAGCCATCATATGGGACTGTGTTTTTTCGATTAATCGATTGTAATCTCGATCACTCAATTGTGAGTGATGTATTTGTTCTTGACCCTTACTTTATCTGTGGAAAAGTACTATTTGAAAATACGAAACAAGCTAAGAAAATTATTTTATATGATTTAAGGGTGTTTCACGAGTTATAATTGTGTTTTATAATTGTGTTGTATGTCTAAAATGATATATAGGTATACGTGTACATGAAGTACTGCATGTATATGGTAAGTTGCGTTTTGGTATTGTTTTGTGCAGTTTTTTCACTATCGGCAAGAATGAATGAACCAGTGGCGGACACAAAGCAGAATGCTTGGGTTAACAACCGTATTTATATTAGAAGATGCATGACTTTAACATCTGCATGGGACAGTTTAAACATCCGAGAAAGCGCCATCCGATCGTCTAATATAAACATTTTTATAACAATTCAAAAAATCACTATCGATCGAGTATCGGTGGATATAGCGCTATTCGGCTTTCGTACTAGTTAAATCATGAAGGTTTCTGAGGTAAAAGAAACCCGAGATGTTTAATTTGCAAGCATTTGTACGTTTTATTGGGCACCATCTTGGTTTATTCTGAAGTTTGCCTCCGCCGTTACAGTGAAATAGTTGGTTTGTCTTAAAAATAGCTTAGCGTATCATGGATAACTAGTTTTAACATTATTCGACCAAGACATTTCAAGACATGCACTTGTACCGGGTGTCCCAAAAAAAAGTACTCCTGTTTGATTCGTAATAACTTCTAAACAAGTAAAGCTTTTAAAGACAAATAACTTGCATCAAATAGAGGAAGGAATAACTTAGATTTTGATATATTACAGTTGTATTTCACTTAAAAATTCACGGAGATATTAATCTTTAAAATCGGGAGCATATTTCTGGATGTGTCTGAAATATGCAAAAAACGGTGTATCAAATATTAATCAAGATTTGCACGACTGAAACATGCACTATTACCAGTAAATAAATGACACTTGACAAATTGTTTATTATGAAACAAAGTATTATTATATCTACAAAATACAAGCAAGATTGATCCGTCCGAAATTCACGTGTGTTCTTAGTACGAATACGTTTCCTTATTTCATGAGACCACTGCATCGCGAAGGATCGTCATGGATCGTTCGCAGTTCTGAATTTGGGTATGCTGTCACAATGAAATTGTGAAGCTCTTCTAACTTCTGCAACGTTCTGAAATCTTGTTTAAGAACACCCAAACTCTTTCGCCTTTTCTTAATCTTGGCAAGTTCAGAGTAAACTGAGAATTATATGAAACACAATCAAATTATATAACTCCATAAGACATAACAATTAAGCAACTCCCCAGAGACATGCAACATTTTTGGAACAAAACGTAACAAAATAGCAGCGTTGATACGGTGATGTGCATTTGCAAAAAGTAATATTATTTCCTTCAATAAAGAATAACATTCATCCTGCTCTAACCGAGAAATAATCAACTCAGTCTGTTTCAACCCATTAAAAACATAAAAAAATTAGGCTATTTAAGAAAAATTTAAGCGCCTGCCTTCCATGGTCAGTCTTTCGTGTACTTTTAAGTTCGTAAAGACCTAATATAAAATACTTGCATAATTTCGAACGTTCATATTTCAGGAAACAATGAGCTAAGACTTACATGTAAGATGTCTAAATCTACGCCATATCCCTTACAAATCCTAACGTTAATTCTCTGAAATACAAGTTAGCCTGATATGTCATTAAGCAAACAAACGCTGGAGTTAATATTTGATATGCCGATTTTCGCTAATTTTAGACACATCCCAAAATATGCTCCCGATTTTGAACATTAATATCTCCGTGAATTTTTAAGTAAAATACAACTGCATGTAATATATCAAAATCTAAGTTAGCCCTTCTTCTATTAAAGGGAAGTTATTTGTCTTTAAAAGCTTTACTTGTTTAGAAGTTATTACGAATCAAACAGGAGTACTTTTTTTTGGGACACCCGGTAGATTAAAAATGTGAATATATTTCACTCTACCAGATATAGTTTATACCTGTTGTAGAACATATAGTTAATATTATATAATATAATATAAAAAAATTAAAACATTTTCCGTGTTGATATACAGTTATTTCAACACTCGCGTGGAAATTGGGAAAACTCGAAATTGTGTGAAAACACTCCGCCCTCCGGGCGTCGTGTCAACCTCGTACGCTGCTTTCAATTAGCGACTAGACCTGGGTGCCTTCAATTCGCGACTAGCCCTGAGTACGAGGTTGGCGTCGTGTTTCCACACAATTTCTCGCTTTCCCAATTTCTACTCGTGTTGGTATATTAACTGTATATCAACACGGAAAATGTTTTATATTTGTTAACTGTAAATGTATTGTATTATTAGTATATGTGGGTTTGTACGATTTATATTATTTACTCGTTGCTAAAGTCACTTGTTCCCGGTATCTATTTTCAGCGCAACAATTAGCAAACGCAATAGACCTTCTGACGTCAAACGCGGAAAACCAATTTATGCGATGTTCCACACGACAATTTGTAGCGACAATACAGAGCCTCGTTTTCGTGATTGAGACGTAGGCTTTAACTGATGTCAGACACACGAAAACGGGGCTCTATAAGCAAAGTGACGTACTTTCAGGAAGGGTGCAGTTACTGTTAGGGGATTCGCAATGCAAGTCGTTGGCGAGCCAATAAATTTCATAAAAACATTTGCATTTGTGCTAAAAATTGGGAGTTGGGGCATCGTATATTAATTACTGTAAGTGCTAACATAAGAAAGGTCTGTGACTGTAATGCAAGTTCTGATACTATTTCCCTTTGCCTTGTTTACGTTTTGCTGGCAGACGAATTGCAGTTATAGAAAAGATGTTCTCCTGTGCGATTCAGCAATGCGTAACGGACCTATTACCTAATGAACAAAATTAGCCCCCCCAAGGCTAAGGTTTCTACGTCACAATTGCATATGCATAATGAGTTTGCTGAAAATGTTATATTCTTGTTATTATGAAATGAAGTTGCTAAAGAATCCAGGTATTTGATCATATAGTTACTATTAACTACGATTTGATGTTGTAGAACAACACAAATGCACACCATACTTCTGAAAAGCAATTTTCTTTCTTAGGGACTGGTCATAATTTATCAGGGGGGTGGGGAGGTGTAATTCAAAATTTTAAGGAATGATATTTTGTGACCCTGCTTAGCCATATCCTGGAAAAATAATGCCCCCCCCCTTGCTCGTGTCCGTAAAAATGTACCTACCTACTACTAAACCCTGCATTCAATAAATTTTCTAATTGCACTTTAAAGTTTCTAATTTTCTAGTTGCGCTTTAAATCAAATACTAAAATTTATATTATACCAATATACATAGTCGTATATAAAACTTTAGTTTTTTCAAACTTTCATTCTAAGTTTAAAGAATCAATTTTTTTCAATGGAACTCAAACAAAATGTGAGAAGGCACGTATAAAACAATTGAACTAAAACAGCAGACCCCCTTCCCGCCTTCATAAACTGTCTAATATTTTATGAATCCCCCCTTTTTCCTGGCTAAAAAATATGTGACCCCCCCCCCACTGTTTCCACCTCCCCACCCCTCCTGCTAAATAACAGTTTTATAGTTCTTTTAAATAAGACTGGAAAAAATTTCGTTTCATATGCACTATGGAACAACAATATTTCAATTTTGCTCTACATTTTGGAGCGACATTTGGATCTGTGGACACTACTCACACTAGGCATTTAGAATACAACCGCATGCAATGTGTCCTTCAAAGTTTCGCAGCTTTGAGTTTCTCTCCAGCAAAAGCGGCTCAGGTTCAATTTGTCTAATTTCCTTCAAGTTTGCACAATGGCGATACAGAAAAACAGTGACTACGAAAGTGTAACGTAATAAGTGTAGTGTAAAAACTTTGTTTGAGCAGGCAACGCTGTTTCTTATGGCCATTGGACCGGAACACACAAAAATGTGCTTTTTATGCTTGATCCCATTTTCCCAGCCCGAATGTTCTCTAAATCCCATTTCCCAGCCCTTTTTTAGATTAAATCCCAATCCCATTGTGAAATTGAAAGAAAATCCCATGCAGAGCAGGTGGTTCATTTATTTGATGACTTTTAATCACAATTCTGCGTTCAATTGCCCTCTTTTGAACTAGTTTCGCCGAAAAAAAGTATTTGCCTGACTTACAATAGCGGAAAATGACGTCATTGAGACATACGTGGTTTAAATTTAGTTTTCTTGGAGTTTTTGAGACAAATAAAAAATTGCTCTGTAGCTGTTCTTAAAGTTCTTTCACTCTGAAATGTCCAACTACAGTTGTCTTTATAATGGTATTTGAGTTTTACCATTACCATATTTTTGTGTCTTTCACTGGCCCAGTAAGGGCCCGGTCATAAAGTGCTAGGGTGGGCCATGTTTCATCTTTGGGCAGTTTCGATGGGCCGCCAATTTTTTGTATGTCCACGGTTGGGCCACCAAACAAAACCCATGCATGTCTATTTCAAAAAATAAAGATATTAATAATAAAAGTAAAGAAAATTATCCAAATTATCAAATGCAAATGATGCTGCAGAAGCCAGTAGGCCCAGTACTTTGTTTATACAACAACAACAAGAAGTGGTCGAATCACAGCAAATACAACCAACTGGAGAGCAGTTCAGTATCAATGTGTTGGTCAAGCTTGGTGGAATTATGTATGTCAATACAATGCCGTGTATATTTACCATGGGCGTACCGGAAGGAAAAAAATAGGGGGGCGGAAAGAAATTTGCCCGAATTTTCGGGATTGTGCCCGACTAGTACCTAAAAACTTTTTTCCGGAAAAATTATTTCGGCGACCTCCCCCCCCGTCGCCAAAAAATTTTCGGTCAGTGTACCATTTTAGGGGTCAAAAAATTTTTCCGGACATACCAAAATTTTTCGGAACGTCACACAAATTTTCCAAACAACACAAAATTTACCACAAAATTCACTGAATTTTCCACAAAATTGACAGAATTTGTCCCATTTATTTTTATTACAAACCAAAATTGCCCGACTGTTGATCGAATATTGCCCCACTGCCCAAAAAACTGGGGGGGCTACCGCCCCCCACCCCCCCCCCCGCCCGGTACGCCTATGATATTTACAATGTTCATACCTGCAAGTTTTTTTTATTATAAAAGTGTATTTTCCCAATTTAGATTGGGTGGGTCATGAAAAATTTTTTGTAAGATTAGATGGGCTTTGAAATTTTTATCTACATACTAAGATGGGTCACAACTTATTGGCAAAATTTGTGATTTACCTCCACCCCAGCACATAACTGAACAATATATAATTTAGTTTATATTTAATTTGAAATATGAGAACTATAGTGGTGAAATCATGTTAATCATGTTACTGATGGTGAAATCTGAACCAGACACGATTATCAGTTCTGTACATGTACGGCGCTTATACGCACTGAGTATAGGTATTTCTCATCATGTCTTTAACAGTTGATGATGTATTAGAGCAGATTGGCGGTTATGAGAAATATCAAATACTCTTGCTATTTATGTTTGGATATGTTGCTATAACATTAGATAGTTTTCCAACAATGATCGTCACATTTATAACAGCGGAGCCTGACTGGGTTTGTGTGCAAGGGAATAACAGCATGTGTAACTTTACTCAAGCTATAACACTTACAAGCGATGATTATATGGCAAGATGTGATATGCCAAGGGAAGACTGGACTTATGTTGCTGATTTTACATCTACTGTCACAGAGGTAATTTACAGCATGTTTGTATAATTGACTATTGTGAAGTAAATCAAGTAGTACAATTGTTGCGTCTTGAAATAAAAGCTGCATGGCTGATGGTTCCACTGTCTGTGTATGGTCTGATACTACGCGTTAATATCAGAGTTCGTTGCAAGTTGCGGTGATTTTGTTGCTCGTATGGTCGTATTTATACTCCACATGAATAGTCTATCTTGATACCAATTGCAACACGTCGCTACCGGAGTAGCCTACGGTGTAGAGGGTCTACACCGTAGGCTACTACCGGAGCGACGCCGAGCGTCTCAGCAATTCTTTTTTCACATGATCGAAACTTGGAACTGTTTCAAAATGTAATAAGACCTGACTCGTCGCTCCTCATAATTCTGAGTGTTTCACATTGCCCTTTGCGGACGGACCATTGCAAAAG